CCCGCATGTTCCGGACCGCGTCCATACATTGAGCCATCATATTGTTTCGCTGCGCCATTAGCGTCATCATTTCTTCCATGTTATGTAATGCTGAACTCGGTCCGTCAACACGCGCTTGTGACCCTGTGGCACCGTGTGGCAGTTGTGAATTGCTGCCTTGCGCCCTTTCTCCACACCTAGAAACTCCTTGCTCTTCTTCCGACATTTGTAGTGCTTGTTCTAACTTTTCTGAAAAATTCAAGCTCCTGTCTATTCTGCTAATATGAATATTATTCCTGACAGATAAACTGGGCTGAGGGATGTTCTGTGCTGTACCAAAAATACGTGCAGCACACCTATTCAGGAAGTCCGTCGGTACAAAGTCCACCGGACGCTCTATGCCAGTGTCGAGCTGAGTAAATATCGACCCAACTATTTGATTTTCCAGTGCCCTGGTCACACTCCTGGTCACCCTTCTGTTATCGAGGATACCTTATCCAGCTACTTGATTTTCCTCACTCGGTTTCCCTTTCTCCATTTACCCTGGAGCCTAACACTCACGGCGTTACCGTAATGAAAACTCGTAGTATTGGCCACTAAAATTTGTGCAAAATATATATAAACAACAAAAACGAATCTTCTATCATGCAACAGGAAGAGAACACCACTAACCACCAGAACTGATCAAAATTATTTATATGTGTTTATGTAGAATTTTAATCAAAAATAGGTTTATTCGTATAAAAATAAAAGTGAATAAATAGAAAAATAAAAATTTTAATGATAAAAAAATAAAGGATGTAAGTGTAAAAATATTTCACCAAGGAAACTAAATGTGGGTAATAATAAAAATAATAATGACTAAAAATCCATAAATACAACCTACTAAATTTTCGTTAAGAGACCTTGTAAAAAAATGCTGAATTCAAATAAAAGAATAGAAAAAATGTGTTTTTTTTTTGTGTGTGTAAATTAATAAATTCAATTCATTTGTTGGTGTGTGCTTGGTGTTGCCCTCGGCAGAGGTCATCGTGGGTGCTTTTGATCCGTCTGTCCGCCGTCCATTGTCTATGTCAGCTAGCCCCCTCAAATAGTGCAGCACAACGATATTTCAGCTATTTGCACCAAAATACGGCTACCCCACTATTTAACGTTGATTTTCGAATCCCACATACCCCTTTGAAAATTTCGGATAAACCTCACGAATATACATAAGATTTTGAATCCTACGCCCGGTAGCTTAAACTCCAATTTTCGCTCAAAAAGAAAAAAAATAAATTTCAAAAAAAAACTCACAATCCTTGCCTTTGGATACCACTGTTCAGCCTACCACAGTGTGCTACAAGTACTCCAAAGCGAAGTTTTGCTGCCCCCCTACATACATATATGTTTTATCTGGTACAGCTAACCAAGTAAAATGCCTTAGTCGCCTTACTATCATAAAAATCCTAACCAGTCCGATAGAAAAGAAAATAATGAAAAAGAGAAAAAATATAAGAGACAACTTACTAAACAAAAACTAATGTTCATTGACACGTTGGGCGCCATTGTTATGTAGCTGGCTGTTGGGGCAGAGGCAAGTGGCAGGTTGGCA